TTGAAGATCCCAGGCGAACTCTAACCACTGTGCCACCATGATGCCAAGGCAATGGGTTGGTCTGTTTGTGGGTTGGGAACGTCCCTGCCCCCTCCTTCCCTCCCACTGCCCAGGCATCCAAGTTTGTGAAAAAACAGGCCGGCCATCTGACCCTGGTTCACAGACCATGTGACGCACCTCTTGGGAAGGTGGTGAAGTTCAACTGTTAACAGAAAAACATTGTGGTGCCGATCACAGTAGACATTTCTGAGTCTACTGTGTTGTGTTCCAAGCACTCTACCTAGAACTTGACACATAGGAGCTACCTCCAACCTTCAACTCCACTCAGCTCACTGTCATCGAGTCGATACGGACTGACAGCAACCTCACAGGGTAGAACTGCCCCCTGTGAGTTTCCAAGACTGTAACTCCTTGCAGAAGTGGAAAGCCCCGTCTTTCTCCCTCAGAGTCGCTGGTGGTTTCAAACTGCTGACCTGGGGATCACAGCCCAACGCAACCACGATGCCACCAGGCCTCCTCTTTCAACCTGACACAAGCCATAAACTAACAACAATAACAAAATCCGTTGCCCATTGAATCTGTCCCAACTCCTAATGGCTCTATATAGAGTTTCTGAGGTTGTGTATCTTTACAAAGCAGAAAGCCTCCTCTTTCTCCCAAGGGTGGGCTGCTGGGTTTGAACCTCAAACCTTGCATTAGCCATCCAGCATGTGCGATTAGCATCTCCATCTTAGAGATGAAACGGAGGCTTGGAGAAGTGAGATCCAAATACATGGTTCCGCAGAGCTGGGCTGTTCACCCCCCTGACTTACAGCCTCAGCTTGGACTGGGGAAGCGGGGTGTTTCCCAAGCCTGCCTGCTGGGATCTCATCTCATAAACCAGTGATTCTCAACCTGTGGGTCGTGACCCCTTTGGGGGTCAAATGACCCCTTCACAGGGGTTGCCTGAATCATAACAGTAGCAAAATGACAGTGATGAAGTAGCAACGAAAATACTGTTATGGTTGGGTGGTCACCACCACAAGAGGAACTGTATGAAAAGGTTGAGGCATGAGGAAGGTTGAGAAGCACTGTCATATACCCTCCTCCCCAGGCTTTCTCAGCCCTCCTGCGATTTCATCCATCCCCAAGGATAAGAACGAGAAGGCTCCGGCCCAGATCTCCGCGCGCGCGCGCGCGCGCAGTCAGACTGTGTCACAGTGGAGTCTGACTCCAGCCATCTGTCTCCTGTGACGGGGGAGAACTGTGCTCCCTGGGGTTTGGGTAGCGGGGCTCGGCCCTGCAGCATGTTGCCAGGTCTTTCCTCGGCAGCACAGTTGGATGGTGTTCAGCAGCCTGCCTTAAAGTTCATAGCCAAGTGCACACGATTTGCATTGCCAGGGACCTCTCTGCAGCTTCCTCGCCTAATCCAAACAACCCCTTAGCTGTCGGGTTAATCTTCACGCGTAGCAACTCAGGGCCACCCTGTAGGACACAGCAGAACTGCTCCATCGTGTTCCGGAGGCTGTAGATCTTCACAGAAAGAGACACTTCCTCTTTGTTCCCTTGGAAGGGCGGGTGGGTTTGAACCTCTTACCTTTGGGTTAGCAGTCCAATATTTAATTCACCGTGCTACTCACATTGCTTGGCAACTTCATAATGACCCTCAAATTCCTCCAAACTGAGAGCAAACCACCTTCCCCCTCTCAGCCCTGCTCTTCCACTTGTTCTAACCCCCCACCGTTGACCCCCACCATCCACACATGTTCTTAGAGCCTTCCCCAGCTTCCCGTGCTGACAGGGCCAGAGGCCTACATGTCTGAGCATCTCCTCTCTGCTCCTCCTGGACCACACCACATCAGGTGCTGGCCAGGGCCTGTCCATCAGTCACCCCTTCCAATCTGCTGCCCCTTGTCACCTCTGCCAACTACTGCAGCACATTCCAATCAGACCCAGTCTCCCCTCCTTTCGATGACCTTGAATGAGACCTAGCACCCATACCTAGCATGGCAGAGCCACGCCACACCAGGTGTTCCTTGACCTTTCAGCCACCTAGTCTAGAATCCAGGCACAGTTCTCCTTCCAGGCTTCTGCTCCTGCTGTTCCATCTACCTAAATGCCCTCCCACCAGGAGCAATCCTATGCTGCCCTGAGGACCAGGGTTGAGACCTCACCTCCTCTGTGAAACTTCTGCCCTTACCTCTTCCGACATGATGCTGGCAACATTCCATACACATACGCACATGCACGACGTGTCAGGTCTGGGCCCAGGGCTTATTGCAAAAATGGGAGGGTGGTGGAGGGATGGAGCGAGGGAGGGAGTTGAGGAGGGAGTGAATAGTTGTTCTACTAGTCAAAGAAAAAAAACACAGCCTCCATCCTATGCTGGGCTCTGGGGAGGAAGATAAAACTAACCAACCAGCTCATTCCCATCAAGTTGCTTCTGACTCATAGCGACCCTACAGGACAGGGTAGAACTGCCCCTGTGGGCTCCCTAAGCTGTAATTCTTTACAGGAGTAGAAAGTCTCATCTTTCCCGTGCAGGGCGGCTGGTGGTTTTGAACTGCTGACCAGGGCTTCTGACGAAGAGAGAGGAAGGTGCTTCTGGTTAGAGAGGGAGGACTGCCTTGCTCTGGTCAGGTTGGGTTTAAAGTGTGTGTGTCTGTGTGGAGGGTAAAATCCCTACACACACAAAGCCTGGTAGTCACTGTGGCCTCTCCCCTAGGGCATCGTCCAAGCATACAAAAGCGGGTCCCTGGTCATGGGCAACACCACCAGCATGGAGCGCTGGGAGCTGGTGGGCTCCTTCTTCTTCTCCGTGTCCACTATCACCACCATCGGTAAGGGCCAGGCCAGGCCAGGCGGGCAGGGGTGCACCTGGGAACAGAGGCTCTCTCTGAGGGGCAGGGGGGCCGGCAGACATCTAGGGACTGTCTCGGGGGCTTACCGCCCTTGGGAGCAGAATCCCCGCCCTCACACAGATCTCCTGAATCTTTCTGCATGTTGCCAACATCCCCAGGGGCTTCCTGGGCAACCTCCAAGTTGAAGACGTGCCCCCCTAGGGGACTTCTGCTGCCCGCCCACCATCTCCCAAGAGGCAGGAAAGATGGAAGGGTTTGGGTCTTCTCAGCCATGCCCACCCAAGGCACTGTGCCTTTAGGGGGCGGGAGATGCGACTCCCTGTTCTCAACCTTAGGGAGAGCTGGGCCTCTTCCCTCACCTGGGATGAGAACACGCTATTCCCAGGGGCTCTCTTCAGCCCGCCAAAGTCCTCTGTTCCCACCCCCATCCTCTCCAGCCTCCTTTCCCACCTGGACCAGATTCACTTCCCGTTTCCCTGAGCCCCCCTCTGCAGGAGAGCTGATGGGCATTGTCCCAGGGAAGCACCTCAGATGGTTTGTGAAGAGAGGGCCAAGGCCCATCTAGATCCCTCCCGCTCTGAAACCCATGAAACAAACCCACTAGGCCCATTTCCACTGGCCGGGGTACCAGGCCTGGCTGCAGCTCCAACCAGCTCCTGCATCACACTGGAGTGAACACCAGGTGGCAGGCGAACACCACTGATGAATCGGGTTTGCTTCCACTCCCAGGAAACCAGTATCCTGGCCTCTATCCTCCCCACAGTGGGATGAAGCACCAGCTCCTTAAGTCTGCCAGTATTTCCTGAAAGCAACTCTCAAGGTCACAAGGGAGGCTGACCAGCTAGCCCTCTGTCTTCCGTCAAAAATTCTTACGCAGCCCTCTGACTCCATGATCCCGACCCCTTAGAAAGACTGGCCAAGACTGTCAATTCATCTCACACCCTCCAGGGCCAGGCTCAGTGTACAATGAGCACAGGAGTAACCCTATTACATTCATGAATTCACTGATTATGCACTCCAACAGAGAGGGGGGCTGAAAACAGAAGCAGTTGGCTCCAGCCTCCCCAATGTGAGGGGGGTCTTTAGCCTCTGAACCTCATACCTCCTACAGCCTCTTCCCCACGCCTGTCCCCTTGACCATCAAATTCAGTGTTTCCACCTCTTGTTCCATCCACACCCTTCCTGGTCTGGACTATCTATCTTATTGTCTCTTGTCTCGTCTCCAACTCAGTCCTGCCCTAAAGCTTTCTGAGCCAGGTCTGAGAGGCCAGAGGGCAAGAGAAAGGGGCACACTGCTCTCTCTCTCTCTCTCTCTC